ACTTTTGGCATATACAGGTATGCAATGATGAGGGTTGATAACATGTACGTTAATGTAACCTAATGTCAAGTCTCTATTTGATCATGTGACGAGACAACAGTTTAGGCACCAGATCTATCAAGACTGAAAAGCTCAGCACATCTGCAAGTCCAGCAAGCAGCCATGTCTTTCAAATATAAAAGCGGCCGTAAGAGAGGACAAGGGAGAAACAAACAGGAATAGAAAGTATCAAAACTCCCTAAGTTTGATTCCTATGGATTTTGTATGAACAGTGTCTAGTGGTGTGTGTGTGTGTGTGTGTGTGTGTAGAACTAGTAAACAGCATGCATTAGGCCTGTCGTAGCTACCTTATGCCACTGAATGCAATTCCAGGGTTTTTTAACTAAATCAGGGGTAGACAACCCGTGGCTCTGACACCACATGTAGCTCTTTAGCCCTTCTTTTTGTGGCTCCCTGTGGCTTTGACAAAAAAAAAAACATATGGAAATGAATAATTAAAAATTAAAATGGTAAATTAAAACAAAAACATGTTAGTGCGGATATAGCCTAAGTTCATGTTCTGCTTGTCCAACACTTCTTTGATAAAATGCTATCAAACACATTCGGAGAGGATTTGAATTGAATCTGAATTATTCTCAATTCTTGCTGGTGATTTTTCTTTGGCTCTGGGCTCTGGCTAAAACCTCTTTGGGGGTTGCCAAAAAATCCTCAATTCAGGAAAATCCCTGGATTAAGACAAGCTCTGTTTTCCACCCCCCTTATGCATACATATCTTACTGATAAAGATGTTCAAAGACTCTCTATAGTCACCAAAATTACTAAGCATTTGTGATAAGTCAATGACTGCCTCTTTCATATGTGGATATTTGGGCCAGATAAAGAGAGAGAAGGACATCTGAAAAAAATGATACACGTAGGAAAATGAAGATGGTAGGAAGTTGGTGGGAAGACAGTTGGCACTGCATGTCACAGGCAGAATAAATTAATTCCAAATGTTTCACATGCAGTAACAGAATAATACTAATGTAATTATTGAAAACTCTTCATAAGAGTAAGGACATGAGAGCTCTTTTGTACTAATGGAAAGTGCTTGACAAATGGATGATAGAAATATGTGCTTGCGTTACTGCTCTTCCTCTCTCCTTGTATTGTGAGGTTATTATGACTGTTGATGGTGTTTTGGATTTATTTTGGGATTTGGATGACTTTGAGTTTATATGAAATTTGTATATGAAACAATTTCTGCAATACAACAATAAATGCTGTCAGAAATATCTCAGCTATCAGGCCTTGTATTACCAAACAATCATTAAATCAACAGTTATTGGTGACTCAGTAAAAGCTGAATAGATTAGTATTGTGAATAACATTTTATTCACTGTGAATCTCATGAATGTTTATATGACTTTCTGTATATTCTTTCTTTCTGCTGGAAACGGTCCAATTCGCCTGCAGCTTTTTTGTCACTTCTCCCGGCTGCAACCACCTGCTCTCATCCACTTTCCAGGCGACGCTCGATTCATCTCAAACAAGCCTATTGTCTTCCTCAAGTGCTTCTAAGAATTCAGAGAGTTTTTGCCTTTCCTCTGTGAGCAAACACTTTCCACCACTTGAGTTTTACAAGAAACCAAAGACACAGAACAACCAACCAGCCAAAAGGAATATCAAAACTAATCTCTGGTCTACTTGAGGCAAAATCCTCGACTTTCCTACACAGCATAACAAACGGTTGTCACGGTTGATCAATGGACCAACAAGAAGACATTCACAAGGAGGCTCACACTGTTTATCTTAACAGTGTTTGGCAACTCGCACATGTGAGTCATCACCCTCACACATGAATGCTATTAAAATCAGCAGGGGCCACTCAGTCAGTGGCCAGTGTCTCCACCAGTCTGTGTAAGTGATATCATATCAGCACAACATTTCAGCGTCTCAGTGGGTCTGCTTATTAAACCACTTTCTGAGTATGGATCAAGTTGAAAAGGTGACATAAAATACTCTGTCAGATGCTATACCATATTGACTTATCTTAGGATCAGATATTCCGGCTTTAAATAACTACAAGTTTTCAACCCACACTAGAATGGTATACCGAATTTTACCAGGTGTCCCACAACCCTCCCAGAGTGGAACATAATGACACCCTGTCCCAACAGAAAAAAGCGTTTGACTACTGCATAGCATCAAATTACATCAGAGCTCTCTGTCCACACTGAATCTGATAAATATGCACTTCCCTTACATCACGTAAACAAACCATGCCTATGTGCTGCGTGCTCGAGATCAAACTGGAGACATAACCATTTGAAAGATGGGTGAGTAGCCTACTTGCCATATTCCTATGTCTGTAACATTGCTTTTTAAAAAAGAAAACATACGTTTCATGTTGTGATATTAACTGGAAATTACATACAATATAGCCAACAGCAAGTATCGTTAGCTTAGCTTGTTTTCACTCAACCAGCTGCCACTGTATTAAGTTTTTGTAGTAAAATAAGGTGTCATACAGATAATTCCTTATTTCAACTTCATCCACTGGGCACTAGAAAGACAGCCTGAAGAAATGTTGCGATAAAACCAGCGTCTATAGCCAGTTAGAACACGTCTTTCCTCAGCCTCAAATCCAAAATGTTGTGATATTGGTGCAGTTTTGGGTTTCATGGTAGCATGACTGCTCTCGTCACCCCAAAAAGCACACGAAATTTCAAGTAAACAAACCCAATGTGTGTCGCTCTTAAAAAACCTCAAAGTAAAGGCTAGACCAGTGTCTTCAACGTTTCTCTTGAACTTTTCCAGTGTCTTGCTGGAAAAGTTACAAAACCATCCATTGTGGCTCGCAAGAATGTCCGTACTCCCTAAGGGTCACGGAATTAGCGAATTATGTCATTGGCACCACAAACAGAACACGTAAATTTCTGTTCGGTGTTGTTCAGTTTATTAAATAAGTCTTAACTGGTGACTCAGTCAAAAGCATCATGGTTGTTCGAAGTGATGACAGCTGTTGAAAACCTGAACAAAACCTGTAGGTGTCCTTGTAAAAGCCTTCAGTAAGTTGATTTTAAATACATACTCCTTTGTTTATTGTCTATGGCAACCATTAATTACAGTTACTATGACTGAAAGTCACCACTTATCACGGTTGTTAAATCAAACACCAGCAGCTCTATCATAGGACTGCTTTTTTTGTTGTTGTTGTTTTTTTAGCCATGGAAAACTTTACTGTTATTTGGCAACAACAATATCTTCATTTTAGACCACAGTTTTTTATTAGCTGAGATAATTTAGGAAATCTTCAACCTTTGCTGCTGTCACCATCAGCAGACACTGCCACTTGCCACTGCAGTAATGGCAGTGCCGCACCATGGTAGAAGACACAAAGTAGTCGCCGGGTTCATGTACAATATATCCTAGTGCTGTAAAAGAGACTGCAGAGGAGAAAGTAATACTTAGTTTTATTTTATCTTGATATTGTCTTTGTCTACCTGGATGCAGTGCCTGTCTTTCTGTGTGACAATGAACTTGCGTTGAGACAGACTATTCACACTGACTGATGTGTGACTGTGTGAAACCCTTTGAACTACCCAATGGGAAAGTACTTGGTTTAGTGAGCTGTCGTGAAGGGAGCTCAGCCTCGCGGGGAGTCACACCTTAACTTACATGGGAAATCAATTTGTTCCACTGTTTTAGCAACCTGGGGGAGTTTGGCCATTTTATAAAGCTAACACAAAATAGATATTTTATTGGCTGATGCCACTGTTTGTAACTCTCAATAAATTTAAATTGGACTATTTTCTTAGGACAATAAATAAATTAAGACTTCAGTATTTCCAGGTCAGCCATTGATTCCTGGCAAATGCAGAGAAATATTTGAAAAAAGACTTTGGGAAATCAAATTTACACAAAATGAGATTAGACAATTTACTAAATGAATGAATACACAGAATTTCTACATTATTAGTTTTGCTGTCATTTCAAACTATTTTTTTAGGACCTGGGAAGGGACCTGTGGTTTTTTTTTCAGCTTAGGGGAGGGGCATACAAAAAATAAAAGGCTGTATTTTGTATTTATTTTACTGCAGTTTTTTTTTTTTTTTTTTTTTTTTTTTTTACAGAAAATATGCCTTCCACACCCACCAGCGGGGTTTTTTTTAAAGAAAATACGGTCAGCTGACTCATCAATCTTTAAAAATTGCCAAAATTACACCACCTATCATAGCAAGAAACTGTCAAAACAAAAATTATTGTTGGATTTTCAAATTCCCGACAGTCCTTGGATGCATTATGTGGGATGAACGCTTCCGTTAGAAAAAAACATAACCAAATTTGAGCTTAAAATGGTGATATTTCATCAAAAATCACTTCATTCAACATGTCTTATTTATACATTTGCCAATAATAAACTCTTTGCACAAACTAACCAGCATGCATGAGTGAAAAACAAAAGCTTTTTTAACTCCAGGATTTTGTCTTCAACTTTTCACTTTCAAACAACAAAGGATACGTTTTTTTTAATATATCTAACCACTAATTTATGATGGAGGGAGGGTCATGCAATTTCCCCCAAGTCACGCTGGGAGGCTTGAGGAAATATATTTGTAGCTTTGGGGAGGATCAAAAAACAAATACAAAAAACCCCAAAACAAAACAAAGTCACACCCCAGTCACCTCCTCTGATAAGTAAAGAACAGTCCCTAAGACTTCATTCAGTTGTGAAAACAAAACAGTGTTCTGCTCCAGAGCTCTGTTTCTTAGCCCTGTGCTCACTCTAATAGTTTGCAATAAGTTATCTATCATATATTAAACTATATAAAATGATTGGTTAAAGTGTTCAGTACAGATCTGTAAACTGTATTTGAGTTTGCATGTGTACACAAACACTGTGGCTCCATCCTAACCGATGCGCCAAGCCCTGCTGTAAACAAGCATGTGTCAGTGTCACTACAGTTCAGTGAACCACTGAGCTGTGTCAACAGCACACAGCGGCTGTGCCCTCTTACCTCCGAACAGATGAGGCGAGAGGTGAGCTGGTAGAGATCCTATCAACAGCCGGGGACCTTCGTGCCCTCCGCCTGAGCGCTCCCTGTCCGCCGCCTCCTCCGGGCTGCTGCCGCCGGACTCCTGGGAGCTGTAGGCTCCGCTGCTGTTCGGAATGTTGATACCGGACTGAGGTCTGGTCCCGGAGCCTCCGGAGCCCCCCACAGACCTGGCCCTGGCTCCAAGGTGCTGGCTAGTGCTGGACGAGGCTCCGGAGGCTCCGGACGCACTGTACGCATGGTACCTCACACCCCCGGCGGTAGTCCTGCTAACACTACTGCCATTGCTGCTGGACGTGCTGGAGGGCAGGTCCGAGCCGGAGTAGGCTCTGGTCCGTCCGTTAGCAGCTGGATTAGCAGTCGGGCTGCTCTGCTTTGCCCCCATGTTAACCTCCAGTGACTCGGCTTTGCAATATTAAAGAGGCGCTCAGTGAGCCACTGCGGGACAGTGCGCCAGATTTACGCCTGAGGCAGATGGCTTTACAGGACACACGTAACGTTACTGCAAGAAAAGAAAAGCGGAACAAACTCTGCGTCGCTGTGACCCCCCCTCGACATTAGGGAAATGCCAGTTAGTGAAAAGTTGAACCGGACAGCTGTGACATAAGCTAAAGATGTGTATAAAACTTTAGAAGCTGTCACCATTGTATTCCGTCAGTAATAGTTGTGGCTGTGCTGCAGGTAACGTGGATCCTGGTTGGTTTGAGCCGCCGCTGTAGACCCGCTGAGCTCCGGCTGGTTCCTCCTCAGTGTCCGCTCCGCCATGGCTCCTGAGCAGCATGAAGGAGTGAAGAGCCGGGCTCCTCACACCTCCCTGCCTCACAACGCATTGCTCAAAGGAAGGAAGTGATGGAGGAGAAAGCCCTGCACAAAACCGTTTTATCAGTGGCTGCAAGGAGACTCGGTGCGCAGGCTAGCTGTCAAGCTAGCTGAGCTCACGCGGACTTCCGCCACGAAGTTTCAAAGTAAAGCCATTGCGGTGTTTCACAGGGAGCATTAACACTCTCCAGTTTATTAAGTCCACTAGATTAAAAAAATGCCCTGCCTCAAAAATTTGACCTTCTGTAGTTCACTGGCGCACACAGAAATGCTTCATAGGGGTGGCCAGATGGATAGATTATTTCATGATTACTGATCTGATGATTTCCGATCTGGTCTACAAATGTCAAAAAACGATGAAAAATATCAATCAGTGTTTCCCAAAGCCTAAAGTGGGATTTATACTTCTGCATCAAATCGACACCATAGCCTGACATGCGCCTCCCTTGAAACGTGTTGCAGCAATGCAGACCTCATGTCTCTTTTTGTAAGCTTAAAACCATTTCCCTCAATGGAAACAAAGCTTTTATTTACTTTTGTTTCACAGATAAGAAACAATAAATTGTGAAGACAATAAAGACCCCACAAAATAGCATTTTATGTCCTGTGTGTGATTTATCCTGGCTTCATATGAGTACAGGAAATGTCCCCTAGCCGTTAGGCTAATTTATACAATGTAAAATACCATACGCTCATGCTAATAACATTAGCATGTTGTATTTGTGGGGAAAATGTGTCCACCAAAAGACAGGTGTTTTGTCTGTGAATAATGAAGCCGATTTGTGTGCTTGTGTTTGAAATTGTAATCGTTTGTGTGTTTTCTTTACAGAACTGCAGAGTGACACAGACACACCACTGCACAAGTTACAAAGTAATTCGTTTTTCTAACTTTAAAAAGTTCATGAGTTAAAACAAATTGACTTTTTTCGTCAAATTAACTCCTAATTCAGTTGTACTATATTCTGTTAATAATATAAACTGAAGGTTTAAGTGCGAGAACATTAAAAAAAGTTAGTGTTCAGGCTGCCTTAAAATTTTAAGTCGACCGAACTTGAGAAGACAAGTTATGTCTTTTTACTCAAATCCATTAATCAATCATGAAATTAGTTGGCAGTTCATTTGATAGTTTATAACTTGTCAATTAATCATTGCAGCTCTATACTTCAGAGGCTCCATTATCGTCACGGTCCTTTAAAAGACTGTTGCTGACTCACCTGAAGGACATCACAGCTCTCTGCTGGACCCCCTGCAGATTGCTTACTGCGCAAACAGGTCAGTGGATGATGGAGTCAACATGGGACTGTGTTACATCAACACTTCAACTTCCCAGGGACATTCGTAAGAATCTTGTTCATTGTTCAGCAACACCACTCAACACCACCTTCCCAGACATCCATCACACCAAACTCACTCAGCTCACTGTGACAGCCCCCACCTGTCAGTGGATAACAACCGTCTCGACAGACCGGGGGCAGCAGGTGGCGAGGCAAGGGGAAATCACATCCAGCACCCAAAGCATCAGCACTGGCAGCCCCCAGCAATGTGTGCTCTCCCCACTGCTTCTCTCTCTACACCAACAACTTTGCCTTAGGAGTCTGTTAAACTCCTGAAGTTTGCAAATGATACAAGTGTCATCTGCCTTATCTGGTGATCTTGTGTGGTCAGAACAACCTGGAGCTGAATGCTCTAAAAAACTGTGGAGATGATAGTGGATTTCAGGATGAGCCCTCCAACACTGCCCTCCCTCACCATACTGAACAGCTCTGCGTCTGCTATGGCAGCCATCAGGTTTCTGGGTCCGCAAGTGGACTTCCAAAATAGACACTATCAGGGAAAAAGGCTTGGCAGAGGATGTACTGCCTGCACCAGCTCAGTGAGTTGCACCTGCCTCAGGAGCTGCTAATACAATTCTACACAGCAATAATCCAGTCCGCTCTCTGCACATCCATCACTGTCTGGTTTGGATCAGCCAAACAGGACAGGAACAGACTACAGCAGACAGTCAGGACTGTAAAAAAAATAATCATTGGTGCAGCCTACCCTTAATTCAGGACTTATATACCTCCAGAGTCAGGAAACGGGCAGGTAACATCACTGCAGACCCTCACAGCCTGTACACACAACCTGTTTGAACTCTCTGTCCATCAGCCCCTGGTCACTCCTTGGCGGTGCTACTGCTGTAGTTTGCTGTTTGTATTGTGTTACATAGTGAGGTGTTTCTTAGTCTACCTGAATTTATATAAATACTGTCAATACCGTTATCGATATTAATTTATTGAGCAGGACACTTCACAGAGAAACAAGCTACAGCAACATTACTGACTCTGTGAGGCTGCAAAGCAGTGCTTCAGGCTCACATTAGCATGCTAATATGCTTAAAATTAAAATGTTAACATGGTGATTTTAAGCAGGCAGTGTTTACTATGGTCACTATCTGAGTCTTGCTGATTCACGCTACTTAACAATACACACAAGGTACAATATCTAATAGTTGTTAAGAAATAAACCCACTGACATCTGCCAGACTGCTAATGTGGCTAAAAGAAAACTTGTCTCTGCTCTTAGGTGAACAGACTATATAAAAACAACACTATCCCTGAGTGACATACTTTGGCATGTTTATACTATTTCTGATTATATATTGGCACCGACATATAAGCTGATACCTGGCTCTAATGTTGTACCTTTAAAGGGCATCACCACCTTAATTAAGAATTCCAATATGTTATTCAAATGGCCCCGGAAAGCTCAGTCCATATTTATACACATTAGCTACTCTCTCTCAAAGCCACTAACCAGAAAAGTAAGTCTCAAACTTGTGATTTCATCAAGTATAAAGTCTACAGCTGCTCCATAAACAATGAGTAAGAGACTGATTTTGTGGACACACAGAATGTTTGTTTGCTTTTTTATACTCGTGAGTTTTATTCTACTGTAGTGTTCTCAGTTATGTTATCATATACACAAAACATTCCCCTGGGTGCTGCTGGGTGTCATCTATAACATCTTACACAATTCATTGTCTGTGTAGCAGCCCGAGTTTATACCCCATGACAGTGATACTCACCTCAAGACCTGTGGGCCAGATAGAGTGCCAGGTGGTCCACCGACCATTTTCTTATTCACATTGAAAATATATTGATTCACTCTGGGATTTCTTTTAAAATTTGAATTTAAATAAGGTGCCAGAGTGCAGAGAGAGAGCATCAAAGTAGAACTTGTTTATCAAAATAAAGTTCCAGCAGAGGATCTCCAGGGACTCTGTCGAGGTGTCTGGGGGATATTGTGAGCACACAATGTCCTCATATCCTAGAAACACCCCTGCTTACACCTGACCTTTGCTGCGCTGCTGCCGCAGGATTTGCCTCTTGGCGAAGATAAGCGAGGACAAGAGAAAATGTTGAAATGTTCCAAACAGGCAATTTATTTATGCTGATAAATATAGTATAGTATAGTATAGTATGGTATAGTATATAGTTAACTGTGTGGCCCCCAGGCAAAGCAAGCTGAGTATCCCTGCCATATAACATCACAAACTGGAGTTTTGGCACTTTTTTGGACTCTCTTCGACCATAGGAATAACATGTATAAATTCTGAAAATATGGAGTTCCCCAAGTACAAACCTGTAGACCTGTAACCTACATTAGATAATTATTTATCACAATTATTATCATGATTGCTGTTTATTGTTGGCAGTGCTCCTTATCTTTCCACAGTAATGCACTGCATCATTTAATGTAGCCGTCCTGTTCAACTGAGCACACACAACAATTATGTAACAACAATAAAAGCACTTTGATTTAGAACAATTGCCATAATCTCAAGATAGCAAAAAACAAACCGAACCAAACAAACAGAAAAGCCTACTATGATATGCTTTGCAAAACTGTGAGCAGTTATGTAAAGGACACTGTACATCACCTGTAAACTCACTGTAAAGTGTAAAATACTTACATGATACTTAAGGGAAAAATATATAATACTATTAGGGACTGGTTGTTATTTGTGAGGGAGGAAGGGATGATGCAAAAAGGGGGAGACATGTCACATATTTTTTAAAAGCACTGGGGAGGGACTTTTGTTTTTATTTTGGCTGGGGGGCGTGGGGGTTTACAACTTTAAATGGCTGTATTCTGTTATGTTTTTTTTACCCCTGATTTTTAAAGAAAAAAAGGCATGTTTACACCATTTATTACAGGCAGAAACTGTTAAAACAGAAATTATCATTGGATTTTAAAATTTCCAACGGTCCTTGGATGCATCATTTGAGATGAATACTGCCTGTCAGAAAAAAGAAAAAAATCTACACCCAAATCTGATCTTAAAATAGTGATATTGATGAAATATCACTATGCAATATCTCGTGTAAAATTTTGCCAAAACAAACTTTAACTTTCAAACATCAAGGGGTAATTTTTAAAACTCTAATAACTAATTTATAGTGGAGGGAGGGTCATGCATTTTTTGACAGTCACTTAGGGAAAAATAATTGAAGCTTTGGAGAGGGTCAAAATAAAATTAAAAAAGTCACATCCCAGCTACCCCCCTAATCTAATAAGTAAAGAACAGTCCCTTGGTGAAAATCAGGTTTCTGGGTTTTCTTGTAGTTCGCCCTTGAAATATGCACTATATAAATCTGTATTGTATGGCATCTATTATGTATCACAACTGCAGAACTTTACATTAAGTGACAGTACAGTTTAACCTTGTAATGACCTGCCTTTATGAAATAGAGGCACTGCAGCAGCCTTATCGCCACATCAGAAAAGCTATACAAGGACACAAGCGATTAATTATATTCCTCAATACACCATCTGAAGTTGCTGAGTGTCTGTGTGACCTACATGGCTAGCAACTGAAGGTCAAGCTGGCCCAGGCTGAATCTACTGCTTTGTCCAAACAATGGATATCAGTATTTACAGTGTGTGTGCCAAGTTACCATACACAAGATTAATTTCAACTGCATGTTGCATTGCCAAGCAACTTAATAACACACTCTGCTAAAGACTGAACAGGATTACTCATTTATGTTTAGTTGACTTATTTTTAAGGTTATTCACACTACGCCCCTGGTTAACTTTTTTAACAGACATCTTCCATCACGTC